GAGACTCAAGCTTGTCGGCATTCATTACAGGTTGGCTTATGACTATTACGTCTCCAAAGAACGGTTGCAAAATGTAGTTATTGGTATTATATTAAGTGATACAAAAAGGAGAGGTAAAAAAATAGCATGAAGAAGGAAAAACATTACATAGCTTCTGCTACATATGCATGCCCAGCAAAGAGGGGGGAAAAGATAACATGAAGAAAGAAAACATAAAAAGGAGTTCGTCATGAGGATTTGATTTTGCAACTTATATTCAAAGGAAATATTTTGAGCAAGGCTTTTTTCTCAAATACCTTAATAGGGGATCATGCCTAAGATCTTTCTTTGTTGCCAGGACTATTTTCAAAGCTTTCACCTCTTCATTACACATTAATTTTCTGTGTCTATTTTTTATGTGCGATCAGCTTGACATTGCTTCTGACTATGTTTTTGCATAACTCAATAAATCTTTCAAACCAAGCTCCAAGAGATTGCTTCAAGCCATGAAAATACTTATTCGACTCACAAACCTTCCCTTTAGGACATGGAAAACCAAGAAGAGACACCTTCGATCTATTAGGTGTTCTCCACTAGTGTGGCATACCTGACTTTGGATTTTGGGTTTGTAATTGCAGGGTCATACAAAGCCAGTTCATTCTGTTTGCTGGGATCCTTCTGGTGAGTTCCTGGCATCTGTCAGTGAGGACTCTGTTAGAGTCTGGACGATGGGATCAGGGAGTGAAGGGGATTGTGTTCACGAGCTTAGTTGTAATGGGAACAAATTCCATTCCTGTGTTTTCCATCCTACATATTCTTCATTGCTGGTCATTGGCTGTTACCAGGCAAGTCGTTTCTGGTTTTTAGAGGTTACATGCTTTTCATTTATGGATTGGTTTGTGCAGAACTTCTTTGAGCAGGCTACATAAGTCCATATAATATTGGTTTACTTTTATGAATATTCGTTTGCTTGAGCATTATCACGTTTGCTAGTTGCTACAGATAGTTTTATGTGGTGGAAGCTTTCTTTCAAAAGTAATTGAGGAAGCGTTGAAGGCATTTCATTAATTTTGAAAAATAGATCAAGCTATAGAAGAGAGAAGGAGAAAAAAAAAATCCATACACAACTCTCCAAAGATTCCATTAAGTATAAAAACTAGGTACAAGAGACTATATATAAAACCTTATTACAAGAGAAAGACTAAATACAAAACCTTATTACAAGAGACAGACTAAAATACTTCTAATTATAAATAAATATAAATACTATCTTAGCATTCTCTCCCAAACTCATGATGTGACAATAAAAAGTATCGAGAGTTTGTCAAGAAATAAATAAAAATGGATCGTAGTATGACACTTTGTGAAAAAGTAGGTCAATATGCATAGTAGAAGAAACAAAATGCAATGAAATAGTCTTAAGCTAAAGATCGTGGTGCACAAAATGGCAATCGATCTCAATATGCTTGGTCCACTCATGGAATATAGAATTATGTGCAGTTTGAATGACACGCTTATTGTTACAATACATAAAAGTTGGAGCCAAAAATGCAACTCTTAAATTTGGCAAGTAACCATCTCAACTAAACTATATATGATGTAGTAGTAATAATAGCACGATATTCAGTCTTAACAATGAAACGAGTAATCACAGTCTGTTTCTTGCCTCTCCAAAGCAAGCAAGATGCGGAAGAGAACAACAAATTTTAATATAACGTATCCCAAAGATAACATAAAATTCGGAGAACTGTAACCTAGTGAATTGTGGTGGAAGAAGAAACAAATTGACTCACAACATGAACAACATAAACAATATCAAGTCATGTAATGGTGAGATAGACTCAACTAGCTGCTAGAATCTGATACGGAATAGGATTAGCTAAAAGGACACTATAAGTAGAGGTGCAATGCACATTAAGTATTAAGTTCAAGAGGAGTCTCAACCGTCCAAGAATCTGTTAATTGTGCCCTACGTATAACATTACCTGCATACTTTGATTGAGAAAGAAGATAATCCTTAGGTGATGAAGTCACTTCAATGTCTAGAAAATTGCGAAAGAGACTACGATCCTTCATCTTAAACTGTTGTTGTACATGAGCTTTCAAAATTGAGATAACTTCATGATCATCCCCAGTAACAATCTTATCATCAACATATAAGAGAAGAACAATTTGACTAGAGAACGTATAAAGTGCAATTCGCCCAAAAGTTAAATTTTTTTACCATTTTTCAAAATGCATCACCAAAAGAACACCACAATAACGTGGTGTGACCCATGCTAAATCCATTTCCCTAAAAGTTTATGCTATAAGAAAGTGACAATGGGGCAATGAAGGAACAAATTATTAATACTTTCACAACCTTTGCTTGCACAAAACACACCAAAGTGTTAGGCCTTCACTTTTGTAACAAACCACAAGTATTCACCTTACCATGAGCTATGATGCAAGAAAGCACCTGCACTTTAACAAGCACTCTTTACTTCCCAAATTAATGAATGGGGCTCAAATGTAACAATACTATCAAGTATTCAAAATAAGAATACAAAAAGAAAAATTTTCGGAAGAATCAAGAGGCCAAATTCTTCTATCACTAGCCAAGGAATTCAATGAGACCAAATCCCACAAGGAAAGAAGTGAAGAACACTCCAGATATCTCGATCATTTAGATTATGAAAAAAATATAAATTTTCCCCACTCAAAAGACGAAGAAGAAGGACAAAACAAATTAGCCACTGGGCTATAATGAGAACCTAACAGTCTAAATAATCTTGGAAACAATAAAGCAAGAGATGACTCTCAAATCCGAATGTCTTCCCAAAAGCAAACATCACAATATCTCAGTTTTTTTTCAATTGAGGACATATGTTTCTTTTGGATACTTGCTGCAAATGAAATTAATTTTCTTCTCGCATGCCTGTTGGCTCCAATTTTCCCTTCAGAATGCTCTCATTACATGAATTCCAAACATTTTGTAACAAAATTAAAGGGCAACGAAGGAATATATTAAAGTTAGCCCTTGTTTGAAATTGTGCTTAAAAAGAGGACCCAATTGTCTTAATTGAAATCTGATAAGACTACCAGTTGAAAAAAAAAAGGACGAAGAAATTTCCTCAAAGGGAATTTCCATTTTTCCTTTGACCATTTTTTACGTTCTGTTTGATTGTCTGTTGGTCTATTAAAAGCCCAAGGAATGATATCTTACCAAAACAAAGTCACATGTTTAAGATATGCATCAGGTGTTTGCGTGCTTTCTGCATGTGTATATATATACGTGTATTGATGTGTTATTTCCCGCAGGTTGGGTAATTTCTTGTTTAAAATGTCGCTTTGTTAAATTGGTATGGTTGCAAATTTTGCTGTTTGGTGTCCATGTCACTTGACCAAGATTACTAACTGTGTAGAACAATATATCCTCCTCAATGGAATCCTTTCATAATCATTGGTTATCCTATTTCTGATCTACTTTGCACATTTATTACAGTCTCTGGAGCTTTGGAATATGATTGAGAACAAGACAATGACTCTTTCAGCACATGACGGACTTATTGCTGCCTTGTCTGTATCAACAATAACGGGCTTGGTTGCTTCAGCTAGTCACGACAAGATTGTTAAGCTCTGGAAGTAAAATTGTTGCTTCGGTGTGTCCTGTTAAAGCAGTGCTTTGTCTTCTGAGCCGGTTTTTTTGGGCAGTGTCTTTGCAATTGTCATAGTTTGTTTCTATGTCAATAGCCAAGTATTAACGTCTTGTTCTGTATCTTGTATCTTTACTTGGTGTTCCATGTAACCCCAAGACCAAGAAACTAACCCTGTATCATTGTTATTGTCGCCACTGCTGCGATCGTTGTTCCCAGTAAAGTTTCGGCTCAATCTTTGGATTTGTAATAGTATCTGTACTCGATATTTCGGTTTCAGTTGTGGTATCTGTGGTATTTGGTTAGTGATTCCATAAATTTCTCTCTCTCTGGTTTTCTGTTTCTTATGGAAAACAGTGTTTTACTCTTCAATGTGAATGAATACTGACAGTTTTCAACAATGGCGGACTTGAGGAGGAGGGAGTTCTATTAGTGACGAGTAGTGTGCAACTCAGTGGGTTGACTGATCGACCTAAGCTCAATTTGTAAAATCTTCAACCTAAATTCAACCCGAGTTCAAATTTGAACTGAATCCTCTTTGGTTGAACTTGAGCTATACAACTCGGGCTGAAATCCTGAGTTTTAACCTGGGTTTAATTACCCCAGCCAGAGTTCAAAGTCATGGTCTTTGATTTCTTCTTCTGGGAAGCCCCCGGCGGGGGAAGGGGGGTAGTTGTGTGTGGAGGAAGGGAACCTTGGTTAAACTTAGCCTGTACAACTCGGGCTGCAATAATTTATAGGGTTTAATTTATCTTTAGGGAAATAAATAGTTATAATTACAAAAATGGACAATAACAGTAAAATGATGGTCACTGTTACAGCAACACAGATCACATTAACAACAATGTTCATTGGGGGGGGGGGGGTGTGTGTGTGAGAGACGATGGCTGGGAATAGAAGTACTATAGAAGGTGGCGGGGTTGGAGTATAGAGTGCTGGTGGATTAGATAGTAACACGTTTACAACATGATTATAATCACTGTTAAAATTCTAAAGAACTAGATAGTAATGTAAAGTAGACAGCCACTTGATTACAATGACGTGAACTAAATCGCCATACGATCACAGTAATAGCCATAACGATGAATATAGTGAATTTAGTTGTCATTGTTCAAATTTTACGGTCCAACAAATTTATACTGGATAAAAATAACATCAAGATTTACAATTCACCCTAAATATTGGGTTTTTTGGAGGCTGGTCCACAGTTGTGTACTTTTGGAACATGAAGGATAGACGCATTCTTTTTAGGGCTTAGAGGACAATTAAAGGCATAAAGATTAATTTTTTTAATGAGATAAATAGCTATATTACAAAATGGACAGTAACAACAAGACAAGAACAGTAACAACGACACAATAACAATAATTGTCATAGTAACACGATCACAGTAACAACAATGCCCATGTGGGTGAGGTATAAGGGTTATGATTGGTAATGGAATTGCTATGGAAGATAACAGGGTTGGAGTATAAAGTGGTGGTGGACTAGACAACAACACGAGCACAGTAACAACAACACGATAACAGTAACAGTCACAATCATTGTCAAAATTCTACAAAATTAGACAATAACGTAAACTAGATAGCCACACGATCACAGTAACAACCAAAATCATTATCAAAATTCTACGAAAACTAGACAATAACATGAACTAGACAGCCACATGATGATAGTAACAACTACAACTACTAATTGAATAGTTCATAAGTTTAAACAAAAAAACACACATAATTTTTTCATCCATAACAAAACAAATTTAAGATCAATATATCAAAACAATCAAGTACAAGTGGAGATCTAAACTTTTTCACAAAAAATAATAAAACCCTTAGTTCATGTATTTCATCGAACACCATTTGAGCATAACATATACATTGAAGAATGTCATAGACATTTATTATCCCTTATGGTGCAAAATAATCCACATGACCCTATGATGATTATCAAATTAATAGAGGGATTATACATAAAGTTGCCAAAAATAACACTTAGCTATAACAACGATTACACATTTACAAGGTACAAAATTTAGAATCCTTTCATATCCAAATAATGTTAGAGCCTCACCAATCAATAGTGCCATCTATTCTAACAGTTGAAAGCCCAATATTCAATTTTCTATTCGAGGAGTGTTGGGAATTGTATCTTAAAGTAGTTGCATCTTCAAGAACATAGTTGCTGAGAATTGTATCTTCAAATCAATAGATATTTATGTCAGCAAGAAAAAGCGAGCTATATATGAGAAACTTCTAAACTCTCATTGGTAACGATGCGAAGAACACTTGAACAAGTCCCACTTAAAATAATTCGTTTCAAGCGATAATTTGATCGAGAAGACCCAACACCCCTTCTCTCTCTTTCTCCCCCGATGGTGCCAGTGGAGGAACAGGTGGTGCATGGTGGTGATCAGAAGCATTGGGCCAACAGATTGCACGAGAGTAGAGTAGGAAATAATAATTATAAAAAATAGCTTGTTAGACCTACTTACCAAATATTACACATCATATATCCTTAATACCTCAATAAGTTTGCTCCAGTCTTTTTTGGCAAAATAAATTATCATATTATCCTTGGTTTTAATTTTCACTAATTTGTATGTATGTTATGTACAAGTAGGAAAAATGAGCCGACTCACGAATAGTTTTGGCTTTGCTCGGCTCAAATAGTAAACGAGCCTAACAATTTGTATCATATTATCCTTGGTTTTAATTTTCACTATTTGTATGTTATGTACAAGTAGGAAAAATGAGCCGACTCACGAATAGTTTTGGCTTTGCTCGGCTCAAATAGTAAACGAGCCTAACAATTTGTTTATATTCGACTCATTTATTTAATATGAGCATGCTCAAGCTGAGTTAAAATTGAGCTAAACCAGAGCTGTTCCCGAGCCGCATGAATCGTTTAACAGACATAGACGCATCCCTTTTATTGAAGTAATACTATAATAAATTGTAGAATTTAGATTAAACGTTAATAGAAAAAGGGTCACTGTCAATTCAAATTGTTACGTTAAACCCCTAGACAGTTAAGAACCCTTTTAAATTCTGTTCTTCAATTGATTGGCAACTAATTAGGAGAGAAAATGAAAGGCAAGATAGAGAGAGAGATGGGCAGGAAAGTGAAATTTGATGAAAGAACTCTCAAGGTTGGATTGTAAACCCAAACAATTTCAACCGTTGTACTTTCAAAAAATGTATGGCGTGTTTGGTTTGCGGGATTGGATTGGATTGGATCGGATCGGATAGAATTTGAGTTTTTCATCCTACGGAATTCAATCCAATCCAGCTCAACTAAATCTAGCTAGGGGAATGAACAAGGAAATAGAGGAAGGGACCGAGCCAGAAATTCATCACGATGAGTCAAATAAAAATAGTGCTACAATTAAATATTTAATAAAATGAGATCATTCGACAAGTTACTACAAGTATTATATTTTTAATTATGAAGATCTGCTACTGTATGATACTATCACAAAAACTTAGTTCGTAAAATTTAAAAACTATTTCTTACTTATCATTGAGAAATTTAATTTGTGATAATTTCATCACCACTAATTCCTCATTTATGACATGATGCAAAAAATTTGAATTATATATCGTCATAAATATTCATATGATACCACCGTAAATGTTAGCTGTGAATTAGTGTGTTCTTAGCAGGGGCGGAGCCAGAAAATTGTGTCAAGGAGGATATGAATATTCCAACAAATTATTATTATTTTTCTTATAATTGATAGAAATAGGACAATAATTTATTTAATTACATTTTATTTAATACTTAAAAGTTCATTAACCTACTATACCAAAATTTGGTAAGTCTAGTAGTATATACAAATCATAACATTTTTTTTTTACAAAATATTAACTAATTAAAATCATTTAGAATTGACTTTAGTGAACTTTTGTACTTTTAAAACGTTACACAACAACTTTATAATTCTTTAGATATATAATCATGTTTGGTATTTATAAATCATTTGATCGATTATGTAGTTTAATGTGCACCCTATAATTTTTACCATAATTAGCAAAAATAAACGCAAGAATCACAAGTAAACTAGCGAATATTTATATCATGTCTTTTTTAGTCTTAAAAAATATAAATAATTCAAGTATATTCAAAATTTATTTAGATAGGTACATAACCAACTCAAAATGTGTCAAAAAATTTATTTTCATTTGATATAAATATACACTAATTGATGTGCCAAAAAAAAAAAATAGGGGGGACATAATTAAAATTATTCATTTGATATAAGTGTATTGACTTTGTCCAACACGAGTTGACTTTTTCGGTAAAAAAAAAAAAAACTAACAAACTAATGAGTAGCAGTAATTCATCAAAATATACAACATTTCATTGGTTATGTACATCATCTGACATTGCCAAGTGGCGTATTAAACTCACTGAATTTTTTTTTTTCACAATGGAATCAGTTTGTCACCCCTATGGGGGTGGTCAGGGATAGAGTCCAGGGAGGGCTGTTACATTGTTATTATTACGTTACTATTGTTACACTATTACATTATACAGATATTAAATTAATTTGAGAATAAAATTATTTTTCAAAAAAAAAAATGCATAAATAAAGATGCATTAAATATAATTTGAAAACAAAATCACTTTTCAAAAAAAAAAAAAACATGAATCAAGGTGTATTATATATATACATTAATCTATAAAACTAGGAGATGTTTAATGCACCACTTTTCAAAGAAAAAACACATGGATTAATAGAGAGTAAAAATGTCACAAAAAAATCAATAAAATTCAAATAATGTACTTAGATAAAAATAAGTATCAAAATTAAAAACTTAATTACCCAATATTTTTTTACAGTTAAGTCTAATTTGGTATATCTCATTCCAATTTTCCGAGGAAAAATTTGGAAGATGAGTTGGGAATAAAAGTCCACAAAACCCATCAAACTAATATTTGACAACTACATTTCTAAATCAAATTATCAAATCTAACCCGCTTTATGCCCGTAATTTAAAGTCATATATATGGGTTTGGTGAAACCCGGTTTTTTTTTGGGGGGGGGGGGGGGGGGGGGGGTTGGTTTTGTTTCTTAATGGTTGTAACTACTAAAATCTGCCAAAAGATGGAAGTGGGTGTTTGTGTCGCAGTTACCTAGGGGTAGTATAAAAGTGCAAGACTCGAAAGAATAAGGAAATTTTGCATAAAGTATTCATAAGTATGTAATAATTGTATATTTATCTAATTTTATAGTTAAAATTTTAATTTATAAAAGTATAACGACGGTCAAGATTGATCTAATTTTTATCTGCTTTGATCAAATAGTACAAAATTTATTTCAAAAGTAATTTCCTACTTAAAGACATCATTTTTTCTGTGGTATCTACAATATTAGACAACTAAATCAACACACTTCTCAATGTCAAACAACTCTATTAATCTACAACCACCTCTCTTATTTTTTATCTATTCACTTTAATTTTAAATTGCATAATTTAAAAAAAAAATTAAATGTTGTATAATCAATATTTTATTTTTGGTATTGTAAGTTGTTTTCAGACAAAAATTTATACTTATATTACACACAAAAGTATTCCATAACTTTGGATACACAAACAAAAAGATGTAGTGAATTGCATATACTATCCCACTATTATATAGTATTTCAAAAATACCCATCCTAATGTGTACACATTCCAATTGCCGCATGATCTGGTCCAAGATTCCATTTTTTATCCTTCGGCAAATCGAAGAATTGGCAGTTTTGATTTGACAATATATTACTCAAATTTCCCTATGAATTAGTTCATGATTCCAATCCTGATCCTTCAGACAAGTACAAAATTTGTGTTTTGGTGGTATCGAATGATCACACAAGAACAAGTACACTATATAGAATCACATAAGGTTGACGAAGAAAACCAAGACTCAACTCTATGGGTTCTGATCCTTCGTCTCAAATTCCAGTCATCAACTTCTCGCTGGTATCGCCGGAGTTGGACAGAGGAACAAAAGAGTGGCACCTCCTGTGCGAGAAGGTCCGAGAGGCTTGTGAAAGCTATGGTTATTTCGAGGTGGTGTATGATAAAATTTCTTCAGTGTTACAAGCAGAGACATTTTCGGATTTGAAGGAACTTTTTGGTCTTCCTTTGGAGACAAAGAAGAAGAATGTGAATCCAAACCCTTTCTATGCCTATGCTGGGCAGTATGCCACGGCATCCTTGTATGAGAGCCTTGGAATTGAGGATGCCTCCGACCCCGACTCGGTTCGGAGATTTGAAGAACTAATGTGGCCTCAAGGCAATGATTTTTTTAGGTGAAGATTCTTCTGATCAATCTTGATCTTCTTGTTCATCTTCTTAGTAAGATTTTAGAGGTGTCCACACAAATAGGATAGCCTACAAGGTTTCTGCACCTGTATGCGCATTACTTTTTGGGCCTAAGCTCTCAAAGGATTGAAATTTCGGCTGTGTTTAGTTTGCAGCTTAAAAACTATTTTCTGTTTTCTGAAGAGAGAAAAGCTATCTGATCAGTTTTTTTTTTTTTGGAAAATTGAGAACAAAAGTTGGGTAGATTTAGAGTACAAATGCGAACCGTTTTTGAAAACAATCATTGTAGAATTTAGAAAATACCACCACCACCACTATCCACCACCACCATATTTCCACTGCCACCACTGTTTTTGTTATTGTCTGTGAGTATTGTTCAAACAAGTTTTACTGTTTTCTATTCTGTATATCTGCTTTTGAAATCATATAAATTAACGATTGAATATCGAAACCATATAAATATCGAAATTCTTATGTTTCGAGAGTTTGAAAGACCTTCGAAATGTTTTAAGGTATTTCGGCCAATGTTTTAAAAAAGGGTATTCATTCTATTTTTAAAATGTTTTTAGAAAACTATGAAACTAAACAAAATTTTGATTCTTGCATCAACTTGACCAAAAATAGACTTTAATATCACCAGCCACACTTTTTTGTCCCCTTGTTGATCATTGAACTATTTCAACTTCACAGAATTAATCTTCATTCACAGTAATATGTTCTATTCACTTAAATTACACTGAAAAAAAGAAATGCCAGTGCCAAAAATCTTCAATCTGTACGACTATCTCTTCATTTTCCTTATTTTTGGCTAGTGCAATATGAACTACTACTTCATCAACATCAACCTGTATGATTCCACAGCAAAACAATCAGCTCCATAACTCAGCAGATGGATGAGTTAAATCGTACGACCAGGACGTTGATTCTCGATGCTTATGGCCTGGGAGAGACCTTGAACTCCATCATGCCTTGTACAACCTTACTGCGCCTTACGAAATACAAAGCCTCACCAAATGGGGAGTACATGGAGGGGATCACTGCTCATACGGATAAACTTCTGTCAGCACTTCTGTGTGCAAACCAAGTTTTTGGGCTCGAAGTTGAAGCCAAGGATGGGCAGTGGATTAAACTTTTTCCATCTCCCAATTCCTTCATCTATATGGTTGGTGATCCTCTCATGGTATGATATTGCTGCTCTATAAGCTTAATTTGATGATATGTCTATACTTGTGTGTGCATGAATTTTCTTATAACAATTATGAGCTTATGCCACTACTAGTCCCTCGGGGTATGTCGGTAAATAGCATAATTAAACAATCTGAGTGAGCAACTCGGGTTTGACTCGATTTTAGTTTGTTTACATTTGGTCAAATTAAATAAATAGAATGTAATCAGACCCTAAGCTCATATTTTTTAAATAAATTGAATCCAACCATCATGTATCTTGACTTGGTTTGGTTCGAATAGGCTCACCTCTTTAAGTTAACTTATTCTTAATTACTCTCAAACAATCATTATCTTGAGGATGAACAAAATTAAATTTATCCCCAAATAGCTCTAAACCAAATGCAATTCTCTCCCTCTCTTCCTTAGGCTTCTAGTGTTTGATTTTATGGTTGATTATATATGTTTTGAAGGATAATTGTTTGGAAATTGGATATTTAGGATTGATTATTAAGTATGTTGTTTAATATTTTAGATTATTAAGAAATTGAGCTTGGTTTCGAATTAAGTTCGTTACGAATGCTCGCATGCTTTTGCCAAACTGAGCTTGAGCAAGGACCTTAGTTCAACTCGAGCTTGAGTTCGACCAATATATATAATTGATTCGAATATAAGCATAGTCAAACTCGACAAATTCAGTCAGACCAGCCCCATTTATGCATATACGGGTCTAGTAATGTCAATCAAAATTATTTAATTTGCAGGCATGGAGTAATGGGAGAATGCATGCAGCTAATCACAGGGTGATGATGGAAGGATATGAAGATAGGTATTCACTAGGGGCATTTCCAGCTCCAATGGAGGGAACAACCATCAAGCCAATAAAAGAGCTAGTGGATGAAGAGCACCCCCAAATTCTGGAAGAGTTTGATTACATGGAATTCATCAGATTTTCTTTATCAAAAGAGAGTTTGACCATGGATTCAGCAAGGCAGGCGTTTGCATTTCCTGGAAACTATTGATGAAGTGTAGTTTTTTTCTTGGAAAACGAGGTAGCTAAGCTAGATTGTAAGTGCTAAATCCCACAAAAAGTTCGGGTCATGATAATGAAGAGCACTTTGCTTGGCACAAACAAATGTAATGATAAGAGTTGAAAAACATGATATTGGATATAGTTCCCAAACTTATTTTTTGAAAAATATGTGGCTAGAATGACACGACAAATGGCTTGCAAATACTTAATTGCATAGATTTAGATCTAAACCTACTTAGCCCATTAAATCCATTAAGTATGATGTGCTAAAAGAGCATCTGTTGAATATGCAGAAGAACCAAGTATATAGAGTCAAAAAGAGAGCAATGGCATTGGTTAATGGCACTGATGAGGAGCAATTTGCTATGTTATGAGATTATTGTGAAGAGTTGAGGAGAATAAACCTTGGTACAACTTGCAGGATTAAAACCAAGTCCATTGGAGGTAATCAGTTCTTGTTCAAAAGGTTGTATATATGCTTTGGGGGCAATGAAAAGGGAATTAATTGAAGGATATAGATCAGTAATTGGATTGAATGGCTGTCATGTTAAGTGCCACCAATCTAGTATTCTGTTGGCAGCAGTTGAGATTGATGCTAACAACCAGATGTAGCTGTTTGCTTTAGTTTTTTGTGGAAAAATAGAAGTAGTATTGTGCTTGGTTTCTTGAACTTTTGAAAGAGGATCTGGATATTGTAAATTCATATGCATGTGCATTCATCTCAGATAAACAGAATGGTTTGGTGGACTCAGTTGGAAACTTATTTCCAATTGCTGAACACAGATTCTGTGTCAGGCATTTGTACAATAGCTTCAAAACTAATCATAAATGTTTCATCTTTGAAAGATATATTGTGGAGGGTTGCTAAATCTGCGAGAGTTTTAGGAAGTCATTTTAAGAAGTTTTCATATCAGTTTTTTTTTTCTACTAGTGCCTAATTTCTCCCCAGTAGGATAGTGCAAACACTTGTGCAAGGAGACCACTCGCAGCATCTACCTCAAACACATCTGGAGTTCCACAAGCACATTTTGATCAAACACTTCTGCATCATACAGTGGTTCAAGTCCACGAACTGCACAAAAACTGTTTGTGAACTATTGTTTTTGCTTATTTATGTTTTTTTGATGTAACTAATTTAATTAAATATCTAACTAATAAGTAATACCACCAGATTAAAAGGAACAATAACCTAAATGCAGCAAGCACTCATGAGAAGACATCAACAACATCATCATCAGCATCAGCATCAACTGCTCACTCTGCAGTACAAAAATCAAAATTGTTCATCCCTCCAAGACCAGTACTACTGCAGCATACCAACTAGGATGAACTATCTATGCTATGACTTTTTGTGCAACTAGCAAGTTTATGATGGTTAGAGTGGTATATTGTGGTATAATACCTATGTAATGTAAATGCAAGTTTTAGTGTTTAATGTGTGGGATTGTGTTAGTGCAATTGCACATTGTTTCAATTGAGAAACTCTATTTTTCTGCATTTGAAATGGACAATTAAGCTACAATTGAAATCAACCATTAAGTTGGTAATCCATTGACTCATAAAACACATAAGCCAACCAGAGATCCAACATCAAAAAGTCACCAACAAAGACCTAGCAACCAAGATCCTAGCTACAACAAACTATAAAGTAGTCCAGTAGGGCAAACATTACAATGAGTACCAGTAGCAACAGATTACAATGACCACTTACTATCAAACAAGTTTCAGGTTCGTCACTCCACTGTTGGCTAAATGTGGTGTTGTACCAATCAGCCCTTCCTGATAGCACGTGCAATGCAGGTGGGACAAAAGGAGACGGCAAGTTGGATGGAGTTAGCTATTGGGCTGGGTTGCAACGGATTTGTTTTATTGGGGGTGTAATTTGAAAAAGTTTAACTTTGAGGGTACAAATTATAAAATTTGATATTCTTTCAAGGTACAAAGTGTAATTTTTCCAAATTTCTTGTTGAAAGGTGAATCAATAAGTTGGTGTAATCGGGTATGGTAAACGAGTAACCATAAAATAAATAAATAATCAAATAAAATATTAATTTATTAAATAGATAATCAAATTTATTCATTTATAATCCAAATCCGTCCAGATTAAGCACAAACACTACAATTTTGATGTTAATCAAATCGTGAAAATTGTGGGCCACGGTAACCCCCCAATGCATTTGGTTTTCTTCTTTTCCGGTTATTATTTGAATTCACCTCAGCGTTCACTCTCAGGCTTCACAAATTCAGGACCAGAGCAATTGGGTTGTTCAGTCTTGTTCGCAAAATGCAAGAGGAGGATCACAGAGAACAGGTAAAGAGCCTTCTTTCGACTCAATTGACATAACAGTGTGTCTTCCTTGATATGGAACATTGTATTGTATGGTGAAAACACGCACGTAATCGCACAGACACTTGTCAATATTTCAGTTTCTGTGAATGAATCAATCAAAAACTAAAGGGGTTTTGTGGATATGTGGAAATTTTCAACCTAAAAAAAATGATCCAGAACTGTGTGCAATTGGCGGAATTTTCCTGGAGGATCAAAGCCTTATACCTCCAGAGAATTTGATTTTTGATAGGTAAATATTTCAGGAGTAATCGAGGGGTTTTACAAGCTTATATTAGATACTAGAGCTAGCACGTTTGGGAGAAATTTTGAAGGGAAAGAGGTTAGTGCAGTGGCTGGCATGAGATAAAAAAAAAAAAAAAAAGAGCCTGACCCTCACGGGTGAGTTGTGCTTTTCAGATTTGAGTGAGGGATTGGTAATTTTACTCACTTTTGAGGGAATCATGGGATAGTATTGATCATTGCTGTTGTCATATTGCAAATATGAGGGCCTCAAACCCCTCCCATCCCTCAGGCCAAAAAAAAATTAAATTTGAACTAAATATGGTGCCCTCAGATTCCTGTCCATTCTTAATTCAAGCACTTCTCAAAAGAATATAACTCTATTACCTAGTGCTGCTGGATATTGACACAGTGTAAGGAGTTGGTGTCAACCCTACAAATATTAAAACAAAATTGCTCAACCATCATCTCTACTTGGTATAGTTTTGTTTTGTTCCCCATGCCCATTTGATAGTTTTTCAGTTGAAAATGGAGATCGAACTTCATTCGTTTTGATTTTTTATTTCTTTGGATAAATCCTAATCACTTTTTAAACTTACTTTCTCTGGAATTTGTAGTTGTTGACACGTAATTTCTTTTCCTTTTGTTCTCTAACACTGCTAGGTTTGATATGTGGAAAGTATAGGTTACTTGCACTGAATTTTCCATTGAAGATGAGACGCATTCTCTGCTGCAGCATCAGGAGGAGTTTAACAGCATAAAAAGCTCCATAAGTACACTGAGTGCCAGTCTTGAAGAACTGGTCAGTTAGTAGAACCCCTTCTTCAGTGAAGGAAATAGATGATCATTTTCTTTTAGTATTTCAAAATGGTTGAAAAGTAATTTATTTGCCTTTTTGAAATCTATATTTCCAAGGGAAACAAGACAGCATATTATTCTTAATTCCTCATTTCTTCTGTTAAATCTCATTGGTATTTTTTTCTTGGCTTGTGACTGGTTTTACTCATTGCTTGTGCTATTTCAGAATAAAAAAAAGGCTGATCTATTGGGTAGAATGCAACATTTACGAGAGAAAATCAGTAAGGAAGGTGCTGAAATGCTGGTGCAGAGATTGTTATCACTTTTGGAGTCACTAAAGGTTGTTTGATGCCATTTTAGCTTTATATTTGTTCATGGATTGCATTCCTGTTTTCTTCACGTGGCCTGAGATTTTTGAAAAACCTTTGTCATGTTTTCTTATGTGCAATGAACAACTTAGAGCAAAATTTTTGCTGTAACGAGGGCACATGAGAAAAAACTTGATTATAATGCAAATTTTTAATGGTACCCTTTGTTGAAAGCTTCATGCCCTTGCGAGGTGGGGGATGGTTTATGCTTATTTTTAAGATTTAATTTTGGATGAACAGAAGGAAGTGTGTAAACTCTGGAATATGTTTAGAGAATTGTAAGTCCTGAATGTTCTTAAATTATGTTCTCTAGATGCAAAGATAAGCCTGTGATGAGTTGAGCATCTTGTTGGTCACCTAATCCTTGATACATAGGCATATTTTGGAGCTGAAATAGAGATGCTGCTATAAGAAACTTGTCAAATATTTATGCAACTGAATTATAGAAGTAGCATTGCAAGAGACAAACCATCACATATGTGGGTACATTGTAAATACTTAGTTACTTTTACAAACATGTATCTTATTCTTTAATCATAATTAGAAAATTTAGTATATTCATATAAATTGAACAATGTAAAGCTGTTCAGATGATTGCAGCAACTAGAATTTAAAGCTCAAACTGGTGTATCATTCCGTTCCATGTTAACCTGAGCAAGTTATCCAATCAAGAACCTGTAGAGTTGTATTGTGTTTCTCTCTATTAGCAGTCCTTTGGTCCATGGTTTCTCCTCTGGCTGCAAATCCATAATGTGTTCTGTATTTTATGCGACTCTTACTGGTCCCCGTTTAACTCTGAATTATTTGACAGCTTTTGGCCAACATAGGAATTGATTCCTCACTGTGTGCATAGAGAGGGAGAGACACACACACAGAGGGACACACAGGGGGGAGAGAGAGAGAGAGAGAGAGAGAGGAGGAGGGGGCGGGGGAGATTATGTTTACGTCAACTGCTACCATCATGAATGGAACTCCCCTTGTGTAACAAACATAAAATTCTTAATGATGAAAATAGAGATTTGATTGTTTGCAGGAACATGCACTGACTTCCATACATTATCTTGAACTGATGTGTATGCAATATAACATCCAATGATTGTAATAATGACCTTGAAAATTGTGCTTTGCTATTCTGATATAATAAAGTTGGACATGCAAGTTTTTGTCTGCCTTTTTTTGTTATAGGATTTGATCAAATGCCTTTCTCTTTGGATTTTTTAAGTTAACCATTAATTTTTTCCCTTGTTATAACTAAGCTTATATATTCTTTTCTGGCAATTATCTTCCTAATTTATTTTTGTTATTTTTGGTTGCTGACTCACTGTTTGAAGGCTTGTTCAGGCTCTAGAAAAGCAAGAATCTGATTCCCAGCTCCATTCGAATGTACAACGCTCTCAGCTGCAAGCTGAGATTGATAAACTTGGCGAAATTATACTGAGTGACAATGACGGGTGGAGCTTCTCCTGTGGTATCGATGATTCTTTACATAGCTCTGTGGAGAAACTGAATTCAGCAAAGACGGTGAGATTTCTGTAGCAGCCCTATGATTAATTAATTGACCAGTAGCACATTTTGGTGTGAGTAATTACAATTGCTTTTCTGATTGTATTCAAGAATTCTTGTTTAGCATTAGGTCTAAGATTTATTTGCCTATGCTTTCCTACATCTTCAAATGGTCTGATCAATTAATCACATCAATCTGCATTTCTCAAAATTAAAATCTTTGGTGTGAATTTAGTCATTTACAATGGTTGATGTAATTACTATTGCTTTTCTTACATGTTGCGATAAACGTGCGACATTTTAAAATAATTGGTGTGAATGTAGTTATTAGCACGGTTGACATTGTTACCAGGCCCTTTCTGCTCCTTACACGTGCGTTGTCCTTATTACTGGATGGTTGCCCTCTTTGTTAGTTGCGTATGATGTTCTGCTGGTCAATATGTACCAAAAATAATGTTCTGGTGCTATGTGCCCAGCCCAGTAATGAACTTTTACTTGTAAAAAGACTTATTAAGCTTCTTACTGCTTCTTTTTCCTTTTCTGGAAGGGGAAAGGGGAAACTGTTGTGTCGCTTTCTGTGGCATATGAGCTTATTTGCAATTTGAACTAACAACAGCAATAAAAAAGCATTTTTGTTTTACAAAATGACAGTGTTTTGGTAAGCTGTATTCAATGTAATGATAGGTGATCAAAATAAAATAAAGTATTCCTATTCTCACATTTTATATTCTTAAATTCCCTTTGTTTTTCTTTTTCCTTGCTTGGTTTCTCTGTGGAAGGTGAGAATTGCATTACAGAGGATGTATGGTTCAATGATTACCTTTAACGAGAACATCTGCATGAGAATTTCTGGTTTGGCTTTGGTTTCCAAGATTTGATTCTTTGACGTCTAGCCATCATCATCCAAGAATATATTGTGCTTTGCTAGAACCAATTTTCCCCTTTTCAAGACTTAACACCAATTTTTATATAATGTGTGCTATGGTATAGATGGATCAGAAGAACTCAGGCGATTTTCCTGATGTTGTTATTATTAAATCATATTGCTGTGAATATTTTGGGGTAGGAACTTGCAGCTAAACTACGGGAAATTGTATTGCTTAAAAGGCAGCTCGATGATGTGCCATCACAAGCAGAACTCATTCAGTACGTAATTCTGCATAGCATTTCTTTGCTTTTCACTTGTGAACTTTTTAATCTTCCTATTATGAGAAACTTGCATATTCTTAATGTCAGAATGACTCTTCTAGATTGTTTGAGGAGGATCCATTAACTTAGAGAAAGTTTGTTCATTTATGGATCGTATAAGTTAAACTAGAAATTGAAGTTCAGAACCTTGTACTTACTTCAGGTTTTATGTTGTAATGTAACTGTTTCGGGTCCAATTGCTTCTTGCATAAGAATTTCTATTGTTACGTCCCTCAGAAATGTCCTGTTGAAATTACTTTGTCATGCCCAAAATGGCGTGCATGAAAAATACATCAAGCACTTTCAAGTAGACATTTTGTTTTATGTAATTGAGATGAATGGGAGGATATGTACTTGATTCCACCCACCTTTTTGACTGTTAGATCCTGGAACCTTGATGACATGCTGTTACAGAAATTTTCTGTGAATCCAAATTATCTAGATTCTAGAGATATATTAGTTTACACATACTGTAGAAAACTTGGGCAAATTAACATATTTGCGTCATCCATATGACGCCTGACTTCATTTCTTTGTGCAGGTATGAACGCCGATTTTCAGAACTTAATGTCCATATTCAGGTACACTTTTTTGGTGTTTAGTTCTCCTACTTCTATATTTGGAATCTTAATAGGGCCAAGATGACTAAACTTCTTTCTGCTGATATACAGGGAAAGCTTCGGCAAACTCGTAAATGCTATGCTACCTATAATGCCTTGTTGGAGATAAAAGAACTGATGCTAAAAGAAACATCCTTATTAAACTCCATAAGTTTGCAGGTATGGAATGAATAATTATAATGTGATTGAAGTCAAACCATTGTGTTGTCTGTTTTACTTTTGAATGTGGACTCGATAATTCTTGGGCTTAAATGTTGCGGCGAGTTGTGATTGGTTGCTTAAAGTTTTGCAAGGACGTATTTCACAACCCTGTTTTTAAAGGATAATTCATCAAAACATTTTTTTGGGCCTATTTTTTTTGGCACATTAAGGCATTTGCTATATGCATGTGAAGCAATAGAAAGATGCCTATAAATGTGATGAGTGGAGGAAGAATCAAATTCACGAGTCATACAATGAAACTTTGAGAGAGAGAGAGAGAGAGAGAGAGAATGTGTGTGTGTCTGATCGAGTAACATTTAAATTTGAGACAACATCATCTAAGAATTATTTTGGATTTATTGTTGTAAGGTGACTGATAAGAGCTATATACTTACTTGAGAGACTATTGTGAAGGTGCTACGAAAAAAAGAAAGATTAGGTCTAGAGATATTGATAAAACCCCTAGAGATATAATATGGTGGTGTACTGGTGTAATAGAAAAAGAAATTACAAATGGATAAATATAATACAATTAAGGGCACACGTATGAGCTTTGTGACTTTAATTGAGACAACAGAAGAAAGTGTGAATTCACAAAGATGGTATGCTCACATTAGGGATTAGGGTTAGGGCTTTGAGCCCAGTGTTATTTAAGGCGTAAAGCGAACCGAAGCGACCAAGGCTCCTAACGCCTAAGCGAGAAGCGAGAAGCGAAGCGAAACGCTTTACCGAAGCAAAGCGAACAGTTAAAAAAAATATATATTTTAGTTTAATTACTTCTAAACAATCTAAGTTCTAATTTTATATATACTAAATATTTAAATGCAAGTAAAACCATAAACATTTAAATTAAAACAAACACTAATAATATCTCAAATCTTAATAACAGCCATAACTTAAACATTTAAATTCAAATAAATACTAACAATTGTATACATTTTCATATTGACAGGGTAGAACAACAAAATAAGCAGAATCAGGACAGCAGCAGAATTAGCAACAAAAAAAAAAAAAGCAGAATGAGGATAAAAAAAACAAAAGCAACACAGGACAGCAAAACCGAAGTAGCAACATAATCAACAAAAAAAATAGAAGCATAATAAGCTAAAAAAAAAAAACAGAAGCACAATGATCATGACAGGAGCAGAATCAATTGTAAACAATTTCATATGTAATTATATACTGAATAAAAAAAAGCAGAACAGAGACACATTTCACATGTACTAAAATAATTAAACATGGTATAAGCATAGACCACTTTTTGGTACCATTTGTATATATATAAGAAAAGGGAAAAGTATAACCAAGACATATCAGATACACTTTTTTGTAGAAGAATCTATTATTTATCCCTATTCCTGATACTCCTGCTTCCTTTTTTTATCATAATTGTCATGCAGTCGCCTGACTCTCACATCCCACAAATATTCTAAATGAATTCAGCAACACAAGAAAAAAAAAAAAATGTGTTTTGTTCGAAACATTGTTTATTAGAAAAAAAAAAAAAATAGACCAGCAATAGTCTAAAAAAAAAGTCATTAGTGATTAAAAAATAAAAGAGACTACTAACCTGTTATCAGAAAAAAAAAAAAAAAAAAAAAAGTGAAGCAGAATCGCCTTTTATAATAAAGCGTTCGTTTTTTCGCTTCTTCACTTTTTCTCGCTTTTTTCTCGCTTCGCTCACGTCCTTCAGGCGAGATAAGCTCGCCTCGCCTCGCTTCTTGCCTAGGCACTCAAAACACTGTTTGAGCCCATATATTTTTATCTTGGTTATAGATATAACTAGACACATTCAAGATAGGATTTCATTGAGTTTGTTATTTGTTGATGAAATTAATGTAACAGTTCTTCGTAAAGGAGCTCGTGAATCAAGAAAAATTTAAGTGGAACTTAAATTAAATGGGTGGAATGGAACTAGTATAGGTAGAAATCCAAATGAGATAATAGTAAAGATCACATATCAAATATAAAAGAGTGAACAACTTCAATAAATAGGGTAGGTTATTCAGGTGAGATTCGAGATAAATTAATTGTTGTGCATCTGCTAATGTGGTTTGTGTATATCTATTAACAGAAAAAGGGTTTTATACATGCGGTCCGGGAACGCTTTGGGGTGAACACTCATCCTAACAAGTAGGGTCAATAGTTCTGCATTTAGGCTGTTACCTTTGGCAACAAAATCTTTAACCCAACAAGTGCTCTCTGAACCAAGCTAATAGTACATAAAACCAACTATGCTTAGTAGAATAAAGTGTTTAGCGAAGAAGAAACAACATGTTCAAAAACTAAGAATGGATAAAATGTACTATTAAGATGGATGTAAAGTAACTCGTGAAAAAGATAGAATCATGAATGAATATGTTTACTAAAGTATAGACTTAGCACCCTAGGAGATAAACTAAGAGAGACTCAACTAAAATAGTTTGGACATGTTTAAAGAAGACCAATAACTAGACCAGTAAAAAAGGTGATGAAATACATATTATTGGCCATGGTAGTGGTAGAGGTCAACCAAAATTATTATTGATTAAGATATTGAAAAAAATAGGATAGCGAATGGGTGGCTAGTCATCACTATGTAGATTCCTTGGCCTTCATGTGGCTGTGTAATACATGAATGTATTCTGTACTCTGTTTATGCAGGAAATTGTTTATCCTTTTTGTGACTAAGGGCAGCAATGAAGTTTTCTCATTTTTGTCTCTCTTTGCATGCAATCTTGTAAAGTTTCAAGATGCAATTGCTAGCACATCTGGCCGTGTGAAACTTATTGATTCAATGGACGGAATTACAAAAGGGATTCAACAGGTAACATTGTTCACGTTTTCTTTTTAATCTGAAAAAGTATTTGGTAGTTTACAGTGGAAACAGAATGTCATTGCTTGCTAAAAGTACAACTCCTCACCAAACCCTTCAGGGACATAAGTTTTCAGATAGAGCTGCTATGGAACTGAACAGGAAGCAGCCAACTTACGCACTCGAAACATTGTACAACTGCCAAGATTAAGAATGATGCTTGTGTACTATAATATATAATCTCACTTTGTTCTAAGTATGCTACTTTTTTAATGATTGGTGTTGATGGTCATTATTTGACTTTGGTTTGTTCTTAACGCAAAAGATCATTTGTTTAACAACATTATTGATAACTAATGTTCACTGTTCACACTATAATGAACAGTTTGTAATAGTGGACATGGTCTTCCCATATCTTCAGTGAAAAATAGGAATAGGAAAAATTGTACTAATATGGTACAATATTGGTTAATTTATTTACAACTTACATTTAATCTATCAAAAACAATGCAAAATTTATATTTTTCCCTTCCGGAATAAAATTACAACACACTAGAGAAAAGGACCACTAAAACTACTGAAGATCCTCTGATTGAGTTGTTTTCACAAAATTTCCCTTCCTATGTCTAACTTGTATCATGTGTCACCGTGGCTTCTTTTCTGCTGTTGTCTAATTTTATTTTGGTGTTTCCCTGGCTCTACAGTAAACGAATTTTTCTCGTAGTTCATGTCTTTTTTCCCAAGACCTATTATTGCTGTTTTTTCTCAGTCATGATCACTCGAACATCTCTTGTCTACATTGCGGGCATGTTGTATACAGATTCACACTTCCTTGTCTCCACTTTGACCCATCATTTTGCTCTAATTATCTAGAGTTTCCGTTGCTTAGAGATCTAATGGAGATTTAAGACCCAGTCATTGTCTCTGTACTCTCAATATTGGCCACAAAAATGTATGACAAACACTCTCGCTTTGTATCTTAAAAAAGGAAGTTTCCAATTGTTAAGTACCAGAAATTTCAGTCTCCTAATTTTTAGTGCAGGTATTTAAATCGAACTTGTCAATGTTAATATAGAAGTATGAACCAGTACTACCCTTGGAAAAGTCATTTTCTTCTTATCTGTACATTTTTCCCTTTTGGGCGGAGGATTTACATTTAACAGTAGCTGCTAGTGACATCTGGTTGGGATTCAGCGGAATTTGTCCAGATTTAAATTTGCATAGTGTTAGGATCCATTTTGATATTGGGTCTATTGGCAGTCCTAGTGACCTTTTGTGTTGTTTTTTAATATTGTTTTTAACTTTTTGGTGTGTATTTATTGCTTCATCCATGGTACAGAAGCTGGAAAAGGCACATCTTGCACAACAAGCAGAGCTGACAGTCTGTGATGCTCTCAAGGAGAAGTATGCTGCAGCAATTTCTGAGCAAAGACGCTGCTCTTCTCTCTTAAAAGCTTTCCAGGTATGCACAGACTTTATAAACAATTCGAATCAACAACAGGACTGTAAATCTTTTCACCTATCTTTGTGAGAAATTCGATGAGATCGTGCTAAATAAATATAAACTATTCTTTGATGTTTCCTAATGTTACAGAATGCAATTAATAGACTGTTGAAACCTATTTAAGTTTCAGATCATCTTTGCTTGCAACTTGGAATATGTCAAATTTTCTTAGTTTCACCAGAATAGAGTATTGGATAGGCCTTTTTACAGAACTTCGGTCTTTTCAGGAGCATGTAAAGTTATGAGAGCAATAGTTTCAATGTTTGATGGCTACACGAATGTGGATTCTAGGAGGATAGTCCTCCCCCTACTTCTAAAACGACTAGCCTATGTCACTCTACCAGGACTGTGTATTTGAAATACAGGGAATTGGAACCAAATAAATACAGGGAAATAGGAATTTGGGGTTTCTGCTTTCTTCTGATCCCTTTTTATATGTACTAATAAACATCGAAGAAGGAAGCTAACTACAGCAACACAAGACCGCAACACAAGACCACTTATCTTTTGGAGTTGTGGAAGAGCCCTATAGACTCAAGTCACTTGGTTTTCATATTAAATAGGGGGGGCCAACTATTTTTTTTTCCTTTTGATCCTTTTTCTTTTAACAACAATACACACGTTACTTTCTGAAATTTACTGATTAGATCTTTTGATTTCTAGGAGGAATGTGCAAAGAATGAGAGACTTAGAAGCCACACTTCGGGAATACTCGCATAACATATGAGGTTATGTGAGAAGGGTTGAAGCATCATTGGCCTGTAGGAGTTGTTGATCATTTGCCTGGTGAATTAGGGTCAAAACATAGTTGCAGAATTTGGGTTCAAGGTCTATAGATAGCTGGTAAGTGTGCTTTCTTTGCCCTTTTCACAATCTTCTTGTATTTTTATTTTTCTCCCCACTTGGGAACCTAAAAGGCTGAAGAGAAGAGAGGGAAGTTAGGAAATATCAGCTGACATTCAAGTTGAAAAATGAAAACAGTGGATTGTTGTGGGGGTCTTTTGTTTGTTTACATAGAAATCACGAGATGGGTTGGTATACAGATGGCAGATTGTTGAACATAAAACTGCATTTATGAATTGATTCATGTCGAGAGACACCGTCGCAGACGTTATGGTGGATTTCTGTTAGTATTTTTGAATATGTAGCTGCTACAAGAATTACAAGCGGGTAATTCAGAAACTGTTGGAGTGCTTCTACAAGTCACTTCCTGAATTCTTGTTCAATGCATGAGCATAGGTTTTTAACACATCTTACTAGTGTTCCTATATACATAACGCAAACAAATGTAAACGTGGAGCATTTCATAGTTATGTTTTAGGGTAAATTACATTCACGTCCCTTGAGGTTTGATCAAATGACAAGTAGAGTACTTTTTGTTTGGGAAATAACATTGACTTCCTCTGTCAGTGACGATCGTTCTATCTCCCTAACAACACCATAAAAATGACCATAATGCCCTTAATCCAAAAGATTCTTTACTTTAATTTTACAATATTTAATTGCAAATAGCCACATTGATATAATCGAATTGAAGGAAAAAAATTGTTTAATTAATATAATTGAATTTATCCTAAATGAAAACGAAATTTTACTTATTCCATAAATTTTATCACAAAACTCCAACCAAATATAATCAATTTATTTATTGAAAAATATTTTTTTCTCAAAATCAAATCTAATTAATATTATCCATAATTCGTACCAAATTTGATTAACTTTGTTAATTAAATCAAACTTATCCCAAACTCGAACTAAATCTAAATTAGTTTAATTAATTATCTCAAAATTCAAATCAATTTGTAAAATTTATTTAATTTTTTTGCTAAACCTCAAATTTAGTTTGGAAATAAACTTAATTACATAATAACCTAATATTTAATCACCAAAAAAAAAAAATGCACAAGTTACCAAGGTTTAACTGCCAATATTGTGGATATGGTTGGTTTGATTGCAAGTATAAGTTAACCATAACCATGATAAATGCAATATTAGTATTTTAAAAAAATGATTTGCTTACATCAGCAAATTTTTCACACCCCTTTAACTGCAAATTGACGATTGGGAGAATTTGTTACCGACAACCGAAGCAGAGGGAACTACAGTGCCATGTGATTATTTGATCAAATCTCAAGGGAGGTAGGTGTGATTTACCCTATCTTTTAACTTCGCCCATATGGTGCTAGCACTTCCGATGTGCAGTTGCTTCGTACCTGAGGGACAGCTGAAGTGGACAAATGAGCATCAGATAAGTAGATAATTCAACTTCTACTAATCAGTCTTGGAGCGATAATAAGTGTTTATTTGCCCAAGTCATACATCAATACTTTGAGTTCGATATTTTCAAAAAGCAAATGAGCATCAAATAAGTAAAAACTTAAAAATTTTTACTAATCAAACTTAGATTGATGGCAAGTGTTCATCTACGCTCTTGGATTTTCAAGATAGAGATTTGGCTACCTATCTTTTTTATCTATCTTGGATGCCGTTATCGGAGTGTTCATCTACGCTCTTTTGAGTTTTTTCAAAATAGGGATTTGGCTAACTATCTTTTTTAGATATCATAAATAGTTCACATAAAAAAAATTATATCTATAAATACTTTAAACCCTATGAAAAGACTTTAAAAAATTTTAAGGCCTCAAGTCAAGGAATATCCCATAATTTATAGTTGTATAATAATAGTTCAAACAAAAAATTTAAATTCATGCCCAAACAAAAAATTTCAACTAAAGTAAATTGGTTTATTAATTCAGCCGTGAAATTAAAAGACTTTAATTTTTTTTTTAAAAAAAACTAACAGTAAAACTAAATCTAATAAAAAATCTAGTCTGCTCCACCAAAAAAATCAAATTTAAACTTATCATCATAGTTTTTTATTCATTCTTTCTCTTTAATCATCAAGTTCAAATATAGTAACAAAAGTTTGAATATAAAATTTTGAAAAATTTATTTATCGTTTCTGCTTTAGCCCAAAAATATCTCAGACCGCCCTTGCACCGCTATAGACCCCGATGACTTGTGAACTGAGTACAACTTTTTGTTTCTATCTGTGGGGGGTGATGATCATCACCTTCATGTGTTTCGAGCTGGTTCTTGTCATTTAGTTTGGCATTCACTGGCTTTTAGTTGTTAGTTTAATGTATTTCATGTGTTTGATTCTAAAGCAGAAATAATTGAAGTTCACAATCACAAGTATAGTTGCTCCCATAATCCAACTCCTTCAATCTTTTTTGTTTTTTTGTGAATACAGACCAGCTTATTTACAAGAAGAGAATCTTTCTTAGATTTCTATCACATAAAGAAATAAATAATAATAATAATAATCTCCTATTGATTTGTCTTCTTCTTCAACACTCCAACTTGGTAGAGAGGTCGGATATATAATCAGCTTCAAATAGTTAGGATAAAATTTTATTGAGTTAACGTTAAATTAAGTCGGAGATACAACGCTAAAGTTGAGAATCAACATCATGAATTAGAACGCTGATGAAAAAGGTAAGATTCAGTATCGAGTTTCTTCAACGGTGGATCTTCCATCTCATCGTGTATTAATTGGCACCCACTTTGACTTAAAAGATTTGTGGGAATGTGAGGACATTGGTGATGAATTCATGATAATGACACTATTTGATAATTAATCAAACATATTACTATTTTTCCTTTCAGATGAGGTCAGGATAAAGATGTTCACATAGAATGGGAGAAAGAAAGAAAGAAAACGATGTCTTCAATTTCAACTAATTGCTACAACTTTAACCCATTATATTGTTCGTACGGATATATAATATTTTTCTATTAGTTTGTGGCTTTTTCTTAAATGAATAGTTGTAAGTCTACTGTTTCTCGTCTCTTAAACCGTTGTATCTATTTTTGATCTAGCCCTCTTTCAGGGTCTTTAGACCCCGTTTGATGATGGTAATCTTGATTGCGAATGTGAATTGCATTCCTAAATATCTTGATTATCATGTTTGGATAGTCAACTACTCGGTAATCTAATTTAGGAATGAGATTACTATAGTAATCAAATTCTCAATACCACCCCACACACCTATCTTGATTGGGTATTCTAAGAAATAAATCTCATTTTTAAAATTAAATTAAACACTTAAATTAACGTTCTCTTCCTAAATCAATCTCTATTCTAAAATTAAGTTCATTTCTAAAATAATATTAAAAAAAATATTCACTCCTTTAATAGATTATTAATAATAATTAAACTCTAATTATGGGATTATTGTGGCAATTAAAACATGGGTATCTCATTACTAACAAGTTTAATTACAATTTGTCCCCTCCAACTATGTCTCTTGTTGCAATCAGCTCCCTGCGGTTTCAAATGCTACAAATGTATGCTCTTCAAGTTTCATGTGGATTAAATTAACTAACACCAGTAGCTCAACAAATTAAAGAACCATTACATCCTCCATTTTATACATTATTTCTCGTATTTTTTTCTTCAGATTCCAATTTTTGTTCCTAAAAAAATAAGAAAACAGAAAAGTCAAGACTAAAAATTAAGTAAACCATTACCATTGCCTCCGCCTCATCATAATGAAGGGAGTGTTTCTACCGAAAGGAGAAAGGAAATGAGATTTAACCATCAAAGATAGGGGATGATGGAAGGATATAAGTGTAAGAGGGAATATGGATGTTTGATACTGGGAAAAAAATAGGTGCAAGTATAATTATCTCTTTTTAACTTTTACCAATTTTTATTATCTAAAAATAACGATTGGAGTTAATTGCAAAAATATTCAAATTTAAAAGGGACTATTTGTTAAAATTAAAATCTGAAAGAGTAAATTACAAACTATCCAAAGTTGAATGAGACATTTCGTAATTAGCCCTTACTAATAATAAGATACCATTGTCACCCAAACACCACCATAAAATTCTCATCTTTTGATTCTAAATATGTTGGCAGCTGTTTCAAAGTTTTTTTTTTTTTAATTTTTTTTATCATAAAATATATGTTTCTCAGCATTGTGGTTTCAAGATTCTTTCAGTATTTTAGAAAATATGCACTAGGTTAATTTGTCATACTAGATTATTTATATTCTTTAGGTACACTTCTTTTTAAGGTTCTTTGTGACAATGCTAACGTAGTTTTGGACTTATTATACGTGTTTTTGATGTAAATTAAAGAAGATATCTCAATTACCCATATGGTGACAAGTCGGGTGGCCCCCATCATGAGATTGAATTTAAACTCGTGATATATTACGCAGTGAATGAACGTTTGTCGTTATTTTAAGTTTAAAATTTCGTAACCTTGCTATATTTTAAAGTCTTGGGTGACCGACCTATAACAATAATAATAATTCAGAAAACGATTGGTGGGTCTTTGTTAAACCAAAAGATGAAAAGATTAGTGATGCATTTGTGATAATGACGTGATTAAATAAGAAAAAAAAATGGATAATTGTGCATTTACCCATGCTTATTCAATTGGCCCTGATTCCATGCCAGATAAAACCATCACACTCTAGGACAGTGAACATTATTTAATTAGTTTATACCTTGTAATATGTACCACATATTACATATATAATTCAACTTTTTTTAATCAACAAGTAGTGTGATATACATCTAGAGATAACTCTTGTGCGGGGGCGGCTCAACAGTATTAAAAAAAGTTTAAAGTTATTAAATTTTAAACCCTCAAAAAAAGTCCCAAAAAATTAAATACAATCAAAATTTTTATTGTAATAATCTGGGTTCATGATCTAATTCATTAAAATCATAAGTTGAAAAAATAAAAATTACTCAAAAGTCAACTCATATTTACTCTTACCCACTCTATTTCTGTGTAAAAATAAGTAAAAAATATATAAAAAAAAAAATTTAAAATTAAACTCTCTCCGGTAAAAAAACAAAAACAAAAACAAAAAATTAAAACATTTTTTTTGACAACACTAGCATGTCATTTTTCTGTTCCCTCTCACATAATAAATTAAAAATAAATTAATTTTTTTAAAAAATAATATTAAAAATAAAAAAAGGCCTCATTTGGTGTTATCGCTTTGAGCCTCAAATTGCCTTGAGCCACACCCCTAACTCTGTGATTAAAAATATTATACAATACTAAAAATCGATCATTAAAATTATAATATTTATACTCTAAATAACAATTTTTTTTTTTTAACTACACAATCGAAAATTTAAATAAAAAGAGAGAAATAAGAGAGGTAAGGGTTGATTGAACAGTTATTACGTTTTTGTAAGTTGAGAATTCAACCATAATATTAAATAGGTAATTAGGGGCGAAGTTAACTTAGGACCAACTGAGCCATGACCATTCCCCCCCCCCCCCCCCCCCCCCCGGGGGGGAGAGCGGCGCGGCTACTCCCTCAAGGAAAAAAGTTTCAAAAATTGCATTATAACCCATTAAACTTTGTTTAATGTTTAAGATATCATGTAGTTAGTCCCCCTCAAAATGTTTATTTTTAAAATGTGATTCCCCTGTAATTTTAAACTTCCCAGCCCATCCCTTGTTATACCGAACCTTGTGTTTGAACTCAATTTTCTCTCTCTGGTCTTGTGTTTAGGCCTCTCAATTATGTCGGATGAAGAGGGTTCATGTCGAGTTTTAATGGATTTATGTCAAAAAATACTTCACTCATACCAAATTCGTTTATTAATTCACATCTAACGATTCGTGTCATAACGGATTCGTATCGTATATAAACCGTATATAATTAGTATATAAACGAGTCGTATCGTGAATTTTTTTTAATTAACTTTATCCATACTTATTTATTTATTAATCGTGTCATATCAAATTCACTTATTTATTAAACAAGTGACTTAAGAAAGATTCAAATCTTCTAATTTTGTGTTGTATTCATATTGTGTTAATATGTCGTATCATATTTTGACACCGTTACTTGTGTTATTAGGTTCAAACTTCAGAAGATCCGATCACAAGAGAGAGAGAGAGAGAGAGAGAGAGAGAGAAAAGTAAGTTAGCTTGATGTTAGGATCATATCATTGTCATTGTTTCTTAAAAATGTATAGTCATCTCTATCAGCATCATCATTAAATAGTTTCGAGCAACATCTCTATTATCATCCAAATACGTAGAATCAAACAAAATGGTCCCACTCAACATGTTTTTTTTTTCCTCTCTTATTTTTTTTACTTCCAAATACATATTAGTAAGTCTCTAATGAATAGTCTATAGTCTATTGGTAAGACATATAGATTTGGGATGGTCGAAGTCAATAAAAACCTATTGATGACAAAATTGTAAAAGCGAATTAAATGCACATTTGGACAGTGAATTCGATTACTAAATTAAGACATATATCTTAATAGACATGTGTTTGTGTGTGTAAGATGTATAACCCAAGAATAAAAACGTGATCTTAAGTTAGTGTTCTGATTTAAATGATATGCATGGTTAGTCAATGTTTACGTCCATTTGGAGTTCACACTGTAGGCAGGAATGCAAAATATCAATTTTAAACGACTCAAAAATTTGTACTAAATACAAAAAACTCTCGTCTATAGCTCGGTTTGTAAGAGTTAAATAGTAGACATTCTTGACACCCGTCATTTTGGATTAACAACAAATTCTAATGTTTAATAGGGCCTATAGTCAATCTAAAAGTCATAATAAATTAAGTCAGAAAATTAGGTCTCAATAGCATTGTTCTTTCCTTAAACACTAAGAGTAATATTATTTGGACCTAAAAATCTGAACTAATTTGTTGACATAATGATGTGGCTGAATATGAATCATTGGATCACCACCAAGTTCCAATGTTTGATGGGGCCTACAGTCAATCCAAAGGTTACAGTGAATTAAGTCAGCAAATTAGGTCAAATTTTTAGGTTCCAATAGCATTACTCAATCACTAATGCTATTGAGACATAATTTATGGACATAATTTGGGACATAATGAGTTGTCACCAATGATATGATAATGAATTGTATTTAATGATGGGTCTCATTGTAGCATTAAATGACATTATCATTTCATTAGTGACAATTCATTATGTCCCCAAATTATGTCACAATAGCATTGTTCTTCCTTAAATATGTAACCGGCGTTAATAAATGGGACAATGTGAAACTAATCACATAGTTGAGGGTGTAATGTAAAAACTATTATAGTTGAGAGCGTAAAATAAAAAAAAAAGGTCATAGTTGAGGGAGTCGAAGTATAATTTTCCCTTAACTAAAATTTCACAGTAAAATTTTGAAGTGTCGAATAATAATGGGGGTCATGATAATGAACTCTCCAGCACCAAACTGTTTATCATCTAAACTCAAAGACTAACTAAATTCTAATCAGTGAAAGTGCCTTTTCAAGATGCTTGGCCTTAACACTTACATACTGTTTCACTGTCAAAGAACGATAACATGGAGCCTGAAGTTTAGGCAATATTGGCACAAGTTCAGACTCAGCAGGGGGGCCATAGAAGTAGGCGATGGACACTCGGTGGCAGGCCTGATTCGCCACGACACGATGATAAGCAGTCAAAAATCGAGCATTCGAGACGATATGGAGGAGATCACCAACATTGACAACAAGTGCACCAGCAATTGGAGACACTGAAACCCATCCAAGTACTCCATCTTTGAAGACTTGGAGGCCATTGCTGTCGCTTTGGTGGACGATGGTGAGCAGCAATGTGTCGGTGTGAGGGGCGAGCCCGAGGACCCGGTCCGGGTCTGGGCAGCAAGGGTACGAGTTAAGCTGCAGTGCAGCTTCGGAGTGTTGGAGTGAAGCTGCCCAGGTTACATCTTTTTCTTGTATGTCCAATGATTTGAGAACTAACAGCCAGAGTTGGTAGGCTAGAGCTTTCATCTTTTTCTGATATTCCACCATTGTGTCACTATGTGCATGGAAAGAAACAAAGATAAGGCTATGCATGAGTAAAGACTAAAGAGTTATAGTATAGAGTGATGTTTTGAATCAATTAACTTTTTTAATAACGGAAAATCGCCTCAATTATGCGTATGCAATGCAAATCTTGGTTACATTTAAGTTCCCACAAACTATAAAGGACAGATAGAGTATGTTTTGTTAGACTTCTATACCATTTTTCTTTTCAAAACTTTGCTGAATTTTGCTACTTAATTGATTCTACAAAACATATATAGTAGCATTTTTTATTTTCTGAATCTTCAAAGTGTTCAAAAAGGTCAACAAAGCAAAATATTTGTAAAAAAATACCCAAAATATTTCAAGAATATTGTCCTCTTCAAATGAATTCGGGTTTCTCTAACCACATAAAATTCAGATTTAATCAATGCATATAATTTGCTACTGATTGCATGTTTATGATATTTACGTTACAATCATAAATCCAAATAATGCAAAAACATATGGTAGGGACGAACACCCGTTACTAAAAAACCATATATATGCACATGGGTATTTGTATGTGCCCTTCATGATGGAATAGCCTTCAATGCATTTGGTTAGTAGACACGTGCATGAAAGAGCATGGACTTACCAAAAACGTTTATAGTTACGAGGCCAAAGTTCCTTAGCATGATCAACACAAGAACCCATGATGGTGAACCCTTCATGCCACATATTCTTAGAGAAAAAAGGTGTTATCCGAGCAGTACCATAGCCGGTGGCGCCACCAGGAGAACGCAACGCCTTCATCTTCTGCCGAGCAGGAAGCTCAAAAAGCCGCCGAGCTTCCGCCTCAACCTCCTCCAAAAGACTCAAACAAACACCATGGCCAATGACTTGGAACATACCCCACGTCTCACACGCATGTCCAATATGTTCACACAACATTAGGATCCATCAGATCAATAACTGGTATCGATAATTCTCCGTTCGACCAGCCGGAATGTTGGAAATCATTGGTTTCAGGCCAAATGTGGGATTCAGGCACTGTATGGGCAGATTCAAAGTCTAGGGGATAATGTGTTGAGGGTGGAGAGGGTTATCTCTGTAGAC